TGCAGAAAAATTCTCTCGCTTACAGTATTTCTGAAATATTTGAACCCATATGCAAACAGTCGACTTTACTCGAGCGTTACACATCGGAAATCTGACGGCTCAATCTAATTCACTCTCCACATAAATAAAGTGCAAAACACGCTTAAAGAAGTTTTAACGTCAAAAAGTTCATGGCCTAATCGCTCAAAGAAAAGAAGGAAATTTATGTTTTGTGTTTTTTTCAAGTACAATCTTTTATGTTGAATAGAAAGCGATAGCTAAAAATATTAGGAAATTGCACGTGTGTATGTATATATCTTATTTAAACATCAGCCAATATCCATAATATAATTAAGATACCCACTTAGCAAAACATCTAAGTATTGCGGGTACTGTGTCAATGCATTTTAAAGGGTCTAAAATACAATTCGTACAGAAATATACACAATCGGAAGTACAGGTCCGTTTTTATCAAATTATTAACATCTGCCTGAAATTTCGTAAATAGCTTCATCTCAACGTAAGCTATAAATATTTTATTTACGAAAATTCTTAGAATTGAGGCGTTTTCAATTTGGAGATCGACAAACGTTGTCTATTAAATTAGGTACTAAAAACTCATGAATAACCATTTGCTTTCCACTTGCATCGTAAGATAATATGATCACAAAATCGAAAAAAATGCGTTTCTTGGCTCGTTATTTTAATTTTTTCGGGGTGGAGGTCACGAAACATTCACTGCTACTTACGCTGACGATACAACAATTTTAAGAAAACACAATAACCTGAGACTAGTCTTACTGAATTTACAAAATCACTTAGTAAATTTACAAAATTGGTACTCACTTAGGAAAATTAGATTAAATGATGATAAATCACAACATATAACATTTACACTACGGCGAGACACATTTTATATCGGCGACAACCAAATTTCTCAGACTGACATAGTACGTTATCTAGGGCTATTATTCGACAAAAGGATATTATTCAACCTGGGGCCCACATGTCAAAATGAAACGAAAGACTTTGAACAGAACGACAGAAAATACTATACTCCCTTTTTTCCAAATCAAAATTGAAAATCAGACAAAAACTAAATACGTACACTTACTTACCTACTCAAACCCATATGGGCATACGACTCACAAATTTACGGTTCTGCAAAAAAGACGCACTTACAAAAACTATAATCATTTCAATCCAGAATTTTAAGACTAATAACAGCAGCTCCCTGGTAAGTAAACAACAAAACTTTACATACTGACTTATAACAACCAATTATCGACCAACACATACAAACTCTCTACTCCCGATTTCATCTTAAACTGTAAGGACATCACAACGGACTTATCAACGAGATAGCCACAGCTGACATGCCCATCAGGAAACGACTGAAGAGGAGCTGGATGAGAGATCTCCTTTCCTAAATTATGAAGTAGATCAAGACCAGGAAGAGGTACTGCTGCGTACGAATCTTCCTCATACCTTAAATCGCCGATTAAAAAAATGACAATTTTTTTTCTTCAAACGAGATCACACCTGCTCATTGCAATACTATGGCAGGTGTGGATACATTATGAAGAGAGAAAAAAAAAGAAGTGGAAAGTAAATGGGTATTTACGAGTTTTTAGTATCTAATTAAATAGACAATGTTTGCCAACCTCCAGATTGAAAACGCCCCAATTCCTAGAATTTTCTTAAACAAAATAGTTGTAGGTTACGACAAGATGCAGCTATTTACGAAGTTTCAGGCGGATATTTATAATTTGATAAAAAAAGGATGCACCACAGACTATAATAATCTCTTCTTAGTGTCTGAAAACAGTTTTGACTAGATTTTGAAAAATATAAGTCAACTACTCACACAAACTAAGGAAAGATATTGCAAAAATTATAAATATTTTGAGGAAAAAAAACTGACAAATATCACTCAAAACAATTAAAGATTATTTTTTTATAAAGATAAATTATGTAATTTTCGAGTGTTTAAAGTTTATTGCATACTTGATAAATTAAAAAAAATACTTATAAACGTATACAAATATAAACTAGCAATATGTAATACTATTTTAAATAAAAATCAGAAAATTCTCCATCAACCTTTTTGGAGAAAGGTTTGTTTTTTTCTTTTATCTCTTTCTTATTTCAGCCTTAACAGTTTCTTTCCTTCTTCCTTTCATTCCTTTTCTCTTTTTTAACTCTTTATTATATTATACATTGTCTGTACATTTTGATAAACTTACAATATCTCAATTTTCCATCTAACTATTTATTTGCAATATCTTAATTTTACTATTTATTTCTTATATAACTTCATATTCCTTTTTTCTGTTTTACATTTTATTCTAAGATTCCCATTTTAATACTTATGTCACCTTTTTTGATTATGTTTACTTCATCATTTCACACTTTGTAACGGTTATTATTATTTATCTCTTAGTTCTTACTATTGTCATTATTCTAACTACTTTATTTTACTTTTTTTTTTTTTTTACCTACACTACTTATGTTTCGCATACCTTGTTATCTGGTTCTTTTCTTAGCCCTGATGAAGGCCCGAACTTCAGGTCGAAACGTCGGCAAATGTCAAAATAAATATTATAATTTATTTTTGCCTTCTTATTTGTCTGATCATCCCAACTATTCTTCTCTTCAAAAATCAGGAAAGTACACTAACCCAGTAGTTAGGTTAGTCTCCCCTCCACTTCTCGTGATTGAAGCTTTAATTTCAGGAATTTCGAAAACACCTCAATCCCATCCATCTGTACATCAATCTTAACCTTATACAATCAACCTGTATGTCCATCATATATCGGAATGTCATTCCGACTGACGGTGTACGGTCCGCTATATCTTAATGGTAGGCTGTTGAAAGGGAGCGCGTGGGAAGAGAGGAAGAAAAAAAAATTGTTACCTAGGCCTACGGGAGCGGTAGCAGAGACACAGGATGCGGAGGAGCTCGGCAATGCTCGGGCGATCGGAACCGATCAGTTAGCTCCACCGAGGTCCTGAGCTCCTGATCCTTTGCCGAACTGTTTCAATACCTCTCTGCCTCTTCAATGTATCGATTATATCGGCGACCGGTTTGGGAATGGAGGGGGGTTATCGAAGCCGTTCCGATGAATTACCTCTCTACCGATCCGCTTTCCCTTCTCGGAGGGAAATATTCCCTTTTTCCTCCCTACAGACCGCTGTTTGGGCAACATTTTTAATATTTTTTATGGATACAACGTAAATGGCAATGCTTATGTATCAGCTGTTTATACATAGATATATAACTAAAGAGCTCTATTTGAAAAATTACTATCGTGATAGATAGATCGTTTATTGATGAAAGCGTTGGCAATTTAAAATCACGCAGAGGACATATAGCGTAAATAACAAAACCAATCTGAAAAAAAATAGAAAATTACGCTAGCAAAGCTTGTCGTCTATAAAGAATCGTTTGCAATCACCAACAAATATTATTTAATCTTATATAAAATACCGACTACAGATATAATATAATCCAGTGGCGGATCCAGGAATTTTCTGAAAGGGGAGGGGGCGATATATATATATATATACACATATATTGAGGTATAAAAGGTACCAGATATCCTACGTTTTGAGCTAGGAGCTGGCAGCCTATGGCGTAGCAGTATTTCCACTCGTATGACGTAGACCGTCCCCACTTTTCTTTAACACTGATAATTTTTGCAAATATACATTAAAACAGTTTGGAACTTTATGCATTTTTATTATTATAACCTAATCAAACAAACTAATCACTTTCTAACAAAATAATTACATACAACATGCTGCTCAGACCAATATGGATATATGCTACTCAGGCGTGGGCACAGGCGGATCTACGGGGGGGAGGAGGGGCTTTCGGGCTGAAGCCCCCCAAAATGGTAAAATCTAACCATGTTTTATGGTAAAGAATATTAAAAAATTATGTCTTGAAGTATTATTGCTCATTTAATTACATTTAATAGGACTTCAAGAATCACTTTAACACCATTTCATATAAGTAGTTAGTATCTTTCTGTTTTTCGAAAGTTATTATCGTTATATATATGAAAAAAAAAGCTTTCGGGCTGAAGGTCCCTCAAAAAATTAAATCCTGGATTCGTTAGTGAGTGTGGGGTTCATACAAAAAAAACACACTTACATACTATTCAATCTTCCAATCTAAATATATCACTCATTGTCCCTCCTACATAACCAATAAATTGCTTCATAAAGTTCTAAAAATACCACAAGTAACTAACGTAATTAAAAAGTTTTATAAAAAAATTTCACAACTCACTTATTGGACATCCTAATCTCCTCGTCCAGACATTACTAACAGACATTTTACCACAGAATAAAACAAGAAAACTCAAACGTCTCTGGAGCAGAAATCTGCTACATTAATACATCACGTTTCTGAGAGGTTTCTCTAATCAAGCATTCATGTTAATCCTGGAGAGGAAGTTGACGAATGATGATCACACTATGCCAATGGCATTTGTAAAGTTTTTTAAAAATGAAATTTATTATTATTATATAATATAATCTTAATAGACTTTTAAAAGCGGCATTCCTTCATACCATGATTTTATTTGATGGTAGGTGAGGAGGTCTCTTATCAAACTTCTTTTCAGCTTTTTATAACGGCTGCTAATGTGCAATTTGATTATTTTAATGAGCGATTTCGTATATCCAGATGTGCCCTGAAGAGGGTTTCATGGCGCCAAAATTGTTTGAGGTGGGCACATTTCGACGGGTTTATGAATTTTAAAATGAAAAGATTCCAGACAAAAGAAAAGGAAGCAATGAACAGACTGCAAGAACTATAATTATATCTAATCTACGATTTTTCTAATTCTACTTTCATAGCATTGTTTTTAAAAAAAGGTAAGCAATAAAATATCATGGAGGGAAGAGATGCGCCATTGACCTTGGAGGAGGGGGGGAGGAAGGGTACCTCTGCGTATATCTATATATAAATCTATTGTAATTTTTTTTTAATGAAAGACAATTTATTTCAGATGTGCTGCCTCTATTGGATACAAGCCGAATAAAATACTCGATCTGTACATCGGATGGCCTGATTGTCATAAGACAGGTACATTACAACATGAGATACTCCATGGTTTGGGCATGTGGCATGAACATACAAGACAAGACAGAGACCAATATATTACTGTATTTTGGGATAAAATCGAACAAGGTAGTTGTTGGATATACATCCATATTTTTGTATATAATTGTTGTCAATGTTGTCAAGTATCATTGTATATCAGTTGGTATTATATATCGTGTTGTTTGCTTCGAAATAATACCACGGAGGACCCCCTGTCTCATCCTGCCCACTCTCTCAGACGGCGTTATCCACGACCCTTAGGTCAGATGCTAGCGAACGAAGTCAGGAACAAGACGGCTTACAGCCTACCTCTTCGACAGATCTTGAGATTTACAGCCCTTCGGCTACACTATTTCTAGACCCAGGACGAATGGCAGAGAAAGAGAGAGAGAGGGAGAGAGAGAGAGAGAGAGAGAGAGAGAGAGAGAGAGAGAGAGAGAGAGAGAGAGAGAGAGAGAGAGAGAGAGAGAGAGAGAGAGAGAAGGCGCGAGACCGGCCCCCTCATCAAACTGTACGTAAGCCATAATACTTATTCACAAGTATTCCTTCACACATTTGTTTTTTTTTTATATTTCACAAGAAAAGGGCTCCCGGACATATGGCATGTACCGCCCCTCCTCCCCCCCCCCATATTGTACAGTAGTCGTAAGTACAATGAATACATATTTTGCTAATTTAATATATATATATTTTTTCTACCAAGGCGTCTGAAAATTAGGACCTTCTAATATAGAACTATAATTGAAGTTCTACCAATGGGTAGTTTCTCTTCATTGTTGTACTTGTCAAGGACTAGCGGATCTAGGATTTGATTATTTTATTTGGGGGGGGAGGGGGAGGGAGGAGGCTTCAACCCGAAAGATTTGTTTTCATATATATAACGATAATAGGTGGCTCTTCCCCTCCTTTAGAAGACAATATTTCCTTGCTACGTTCCTCTATCAAATCATCAACAACCATCGTCCTTCTTACGCCTACAACCTTCTCCAATTCAAGTCCTCAGTCCATTCCCTTTCAACAAGATCTCGACCTTCTGACCTCTACATCCCTTCGCACAGATCTGCTTCATTTCAGAATTCCTTTATAGCTCGTGCTGTCAATTTCTGGAATTCTCTACCTATCAAAATTCGGCATTCCTCCCTCCATATCCACATTCAAATCTCTCCTATTCCAATTCCTATCTCAAAAACAGTCAGATACTTGCTAAACTATTATACATTTCTAGTAATCATCAAACAATAGTACTATTCTATACTATGAACTTCACTAGGGATATTACAATATCATCCGGCTCTTAATGACACTGACCGCATCTATTGTTTTTTTTGTTTTTTTATCATTATAATTAAATTATATAATTAAATTTGTACCTATAGCTAGCATTTGACAATGATGAATCTACATATTAATCATTATTTAAAGACACTGATATTTTATATTGTCAGCTTTGTCTTTTCTTTGTTAGCAGAAACACACCTCATTTTAAAGAAGAACTCAATGTATTTTTTATTATTTTATTTTTCAAAAGAGTATAATTATAATTTTTCCTACTGTACACAGTCTTAAGTGTTTTATCATAGTTTTAAGTGTTTTGTATATAGATTTTTTTTTTTTTTTTGTATATAGCTTGTTTAACTAATATTTTCTTTACTTTCTCTTTTTTATCATTGTTTTATTTTGGCCAGATGTAGTATTTTAATTATGTTCTATTTTGTTATTCTAAAGGGACTTTGTCCCAGAATATAGTTATTTTCTATTTCTATAATTAATTTCAAACCTCGCGCGGGCTCATTACCGCGTATGGGGAGCGTCCCACGGGTGGCGGATGTGGGGATGGTCGGTGGAAATTCCTTGGAAGTTCCTCCCGGCTAAGTCCGATGGACTCGCTGACCAACAATGAGAGGGGCCCTCCAGACTTGCTGGAGGGAGGGGACCTCCAGACTTGCTGGAGGTAGGGGCCCACCAGACTTGCTGGAGGGTGTGACGTAGGATTGAACGCCCTACTCACATATCTTTAGTTCACCAAACACCACAAAAAGTCATGGATCTCCCTAAGGTAAAACGCTCATTATCCGGAGGTAAACTAGTCCCCCGTTCGGGTCTCCGGGTGGGGACTGCTTTAGGGGATTCATGGTGCAAGTTGAAATATAGGGATTTAAATATTGGTACGTGGAACGTAAGGAGTTTAAACACAGCAGGGGGGCTAAAATCGGTCACGAATGAGGTAAATGGGTACAATTTGGATGTCGTGGCTCTGCAAGAGGTTCGTTGGCCAGGGGAGGGCTCGATGAGGGAAGGAAAGTACACTATTTGGTACGGAGGAAGCGGGAATCATTGTTTGGGTACCGGGTTTCTAATTAGGAGTAGATTACTATCCGCTTTGAGGGACGTACAATTCTTTAGTGATAGAATTTCGGTAGCTACATTTCAGGGACGTTGGTTTAAAATCGCATTAATAAACATACATTGTCCGACCGAAGACAGTGACGATGAAGTCAAAAGTGAATTTTACGATAAACTCGAATGGGTTTATGATAAACTACCGCGAAACTACATGAAAATAATTGTAGGTGACGCGAACGCAAAGGTAGGAAGGGAAGAAGTTTATATTCCGACGATTGGTAAAGAAAGTTTGCACGAATATAGTAATGATAATGGGATCCGTCTGATAAACTTTGCCATCTCGAAAAACCTGATAATTAAAAGTACGACGTTTAAACACAAGGATATTCATAAATATACTTGGACATCACCGGATTCGCAAACACGAAATCAAATCGATCATGTCTTGATACAACATAGCTGGCAAAGCAGTATAATTAATGTACGGTCTTATCGCGGAGCAGAATGTGGGTCGGATCATGAATTAGTAATCGCGAAACTTCGACAAAAACTTAATATAAAAAAGAGAAAAGAAAACCGTTTCGATTTTGAGAATTTTAATTTGGAAAAATTGAAAAATCCATCAATTAGAAACCAATTCGAGCTAGATGTTAAGAATAGGTTTGAAGCTTTACAGCTTCCTGACGAGGACCACGAGGATATTGACAAGTTATGGATAGAGATCAGGGATAATATTAAAGCGGTCGGTAACTCGTGTCTAGGAAAAAAGGAAAATAAGAATAACAAACCGTGGTTTGATGAAGATTGCTTAAAAATGTGTGAAAAAAGAAAAGCCGCTAAATTAAAAGCTCTAAATAATCCTAGCGAAGACAATCTGGAATACTTCCGAATCTCAAAGAACGAAACGACAAAATTGCTCAAAAATAAAAAAAGGGAGTATCTTAAAAATAAAATAATTGAAATAGAAACTAATAGAATCGAAAATAACGTAAGAGACATGTACAAAGGTATAAACAGATCACGTAAATATGTAGGGCCCGTAACGTCTGGAATTAGGGATGATAATAACAATATTCTGACCGATCCGGTTGACATATTGAATAAGTTTAAGGACCACTTTGACAATATTTTAAATACGGGAAATTATGATCTGTGTCCTCCTTCTGAGTACCAGAGTGCTGAACCATTAATAGAAGGACCAAGTAAAGAGGAAGTTGAAGTAGCTATCGGAAAATTAAAATCATATAAAGCAGCGGGAATCGATAATATTCCTACTGAACTAATTAAGGCATGCGGCGAAGCTGGAGTTTCTAAAATACATCGGTTGGTTAAAAAGATCTGGGTGAACGAGAAATTACCTGAAGAATGGAAAGAATCTATTCTTATTCCGATTCACAAAAAGGGTCCGAGGACGGATTGTAATAACTATCGAGGAATTTCACTCCTTCCGGTATGTTATAAAATATTCACTTTAATCTTAACCAGTCGAATCACGGAATACGCCGAGGAAATTATCGGAGACTACCAATGCGGATTTAGACGGAATCGTTCGACAATTGATCAAATATTTTCTTTACGGCAAATATTAGAGAAAAAATTGGAGTATAACGGTATTGTTCACCAGCTGTATATAGATTTTAAAAAGGCTTACGATTCTATTGACCGCCAGAAACTGTATAATATTCTAATCGAGCAGGGGATTCCAAAAAAACTAGTAAATCTAGTCAGGATGTGCTTGACGGAGACACTCAATAAAGTTAGAATCGGTAATAATTTGTCCGAAAAATTTGAGGTTCGTTCGGGCTTAAAACAGGGGGATTCTCTTTCGCCTGTCCTGTTCAATTTGGCATTAGAACATGCCATTAGGGAGGTAATGCGAACCGAGAAAGGGTTGGATCTGGGCGGGACAACATCCGTGCTGGGCTATGCTGATGATCTGGTACTGTTAAGCGAAGAAGTTGAAACTATAAAACTAAATACGACAACGTTAATGAAAGCCGGTAAAGAACTAGGACTCGAAATAAACGTGGATAAAACAAAATATATGGTTAGCTGCAAAAATGGCGATACTACTGGTGATATCGATATAGATGGTAATATGTTTGAACAGGTAGATAAATTTAGGTATCTAGGTTCTACGATAACTAGAAAAAACGAAATTGAAGAAGAGATTAAGGTTAGACTGAAGGCGGGGAATGCTTGTTATTTTTCTGTGACAAAACTACTTAGTTCGCGCCTCTTGTCCCGAAACTTAAAAATTAGAATCTATAAAACAATTATCTTGCCTACAGTTCTTTATGGATGCGAAACTTGGCCGCTTACATTAAGGGATGAGCAGCGTCTTAAGGTTTTTGAAAATAAAGTATTGCGTAGAATATTCGGACCGAAGAAGGATGAGTTAACCGGAGAGTTCAGACGGTTACACAACGCCGAATTGCGTGAGCTGTATCCGGGTAATATAATTGAGGTAATTTCATCGCGGCGAATCAAATGGGCTTGTAAAGTTGTTGGGCTTAGTAACGAGAGAATTCCTAAAAGGTTAATATGTGCGGTGCCGAATGGTAAGCGTCCGAGGGGTAGACCGAAGCGAAGGTGGGAAGATTGCATTAAAGCCGATCTGAAGGGACTGGGTTTGGACGGCGAACGGTGGAGGGAGGTGTGTAACAAGCGATTGGTGGTGTCGGCATCGAACCTTCGGGTTCGCTAAGCCTTATTATTATTATTATTATTATTATTATTATAATTAATTTCAAAAAAAGAATGAAAGTAACGAACTACCTATTATATGAAATGGTGTTTAAGTGATTCTTGATGCCTGCATCTAAGATGTTTATTTCCATTACTTATTTATTTATTTATTTTTTTAAGATAATTTTAATTCTATTTTATTCATTTATTTTCATTCTATTATTACTATTATTTATATTTACTTCCTTCACTATGATATTTTATTTTGTTCTTTTATAGCTTTATATTATTTGAAAATAGCTTATTTTTTTGTAATTTGTAAATATGGTGTGAATGTGGTCTCAGAACTCTATTATAAATGTCCTAATAAAAAAAAAGATTCTTGAAGATCTATTATATGTAATCACATGAACAATAATATTTTAAGAGATAGTTTTTAATATTTTTTTCTATAAATCATGGTTATATTTTACCGTTTTTGGGGAGAGAGGAGGAGTCCTTCAGCCCGAAAGCCATGTACATGTCATGTTACCAATTTCAAATTTACTTATTGTATTTTTCATATAATACAGTTGTTTTTTTTTTGTTTTTTTTAAACTTTTATTATGATATTTACAACTGCATTAGTATGAATATATCAAGTAAATGTGTACAGAGAAATATTATCACATGAAACACGCTTGTTGAGAAACTACCCACTGGTAGCACTCTAATAATTTGTCTACATGAGAAGATCACGAGGCCATCTTCTTTTCAGACGCCTCAGAGGGTTATCAGGAATCGAAGAGGAAGCAAGGTTAGAAACAAGAGGATTCGGATGGTTATGAAGTTTATTATGGAAGGATAGGTATCTGGATTTGGCCTAATCGGAAACATATGGAACATTGAGGAAATACAGTTGTAAATTTCAATAAATATGTTTAATAAAAGTATATATTTTATAGGAACACTATTAACTGAAATATGCCTATTTAGTAATATTTTTCATGCTTAAAAGTAATCAAATCACAAACAATGTAAGGTCTTTACAAATAAAAATTCCATCAAAGCTGGTTCTTAATTTCAGTTCTTTTAATCTAGAATTTAATGTACATGGTAATGTAAGTTAAAACATACAAATAAATAAATAGATCCTTTTCCTGTAATAATGTTACGCTTTAAGTATAAATTTTGATTATTGGCCAATTAAGCATAACATATAGATAATAAATTACTTGTCAATTTGTTTTATAATTTCAAATTTGTCAATATAGACTTAAACACTAAACGTTTATGAAAAAAAAAACATTTTAGGAAAGGAATTCAACTTCAAAGTCAGCCCTAAGGATAAAACTCTCAGCCTCCCTTATGATTACGGTTCAGTGATGCATTACAGGGCACAAGCCTTTTCAAAAACTGGAAATGAAATAACACTTTTGCCCAGGGATCAATCAGCCTTTCGTGTGATGGGCCAAAGGAAAGGAATTAGCATGGTAAGGACTAATTTAAAATTAATTTACCTAAAATTTATTCATTATTTATAAATTATTGAAGGAAGTTGTTAGTCGACTGTTCTGCATACCACACGTAAAAGTCAGTACACAGTAATTTTTAAGGTTTTTATTAGTGCCGTGCGTCATCATCAGGACTGAAAAATTGTTTAATACAATCAGAGACAGAATACTATAAGACAGATAATGGTTAATAATGAAATACATAGTGATGGAGGATTCATGAAATAAACAAATGAAATATGTAATAAGTAATACAAACTAAAAAATAATGTATATAATCAATTTATGAGAAATGTAATATTTACTCTCACTAACCATGTTTCAAGCACTGAAAGTGTTCAAGTACTGGCACTTAGGTAGATAAGTAAAAGGGTCGGTGGAGGATTTTCCAGATATGCTTTTAAGATAGCAAAGGTAGGTAAACAAAGTCAGACGGAGGGGAAAGGGGAGGTAACATTTTTGTTTTTTTTAATGCAAATAATTTGATTTGATTAAAATATTCAAAGTAGCATGTATACATTATTTTTTAGTTTCTATAACTTATTACATATTTCATTTGTCTATTTCATGTACCCTCCATCATTATTTTTTTCATTATTAACCATTATCTGTCTTATAATATTACATCTCTGATTTTATTAAACAATTTTTCAGCCCTGATGATGATCCACATTTTTGTGTTAAGTCGTCGGCACTAATAAAAACCTTAAAAATGACTGCATTCTCACTACTTACTACTGGATAAAGTTTTTCTTAGCATATAAATTCTAGAAAAGTATAATATTGACCTACGATAAAAGCCAACTAAAAAATTCAGTCATATTACATCCAATTACTGTAAAAGGTTAAAAAATTATTTTCCTTAATGATACGAATGAAGATTTACAAATTGATTAAAAAAAAAATGTTTGGTTTAAATAAACTTTTTCATATTTTTATTTCTTATTAAAGCAAGCAGGGTAGCTCAGTGGGTGAGCACTGACTTCCAGGGCTCAAGGTCCTGGGTTCGAATCTGGCTAATGACTAGTAATTTTTCATTAGCGGTGGATCGACCCTGGGATCGGGAGACCCTCCTGGGGCACATCCAGCCTCTATAAGTGGGTACTCTTAATTATAACAAATAATTAAGGGGAAAAGCTGGGGTTGAGTGTGGTCTCGGCCCCATCACCTCCTTGCAAACCGTTGGCCTTGAAGCAGTACTTCCTCACATAGTACTGCACCCAAGACCCTTCATGGGTTGTAGTGGTGCAGGTTTTTTTTTTTTTTTTTAGTACAAATTTATCACTAAAAAATTCAATATTGAATAAAGATTTCCTTTTTTAGAATACTTGATCCAAGACTCATTCTTTTATATACCATTTCCGATAAAATATTCTTCCATTTGATTATTCTTAGTCCTGGCCTACTTAGTGTTTTTGGTATATCTGTTTTCCAAAAGAAAACTCTTCTTAGCATTTTTCTTTCATTATCAGTTATTTCATATATCAGTTGTTTCATTATTATTTTCATTCGTTAGTATCATTTTTTCAATTCATTATCAGAGGATGCCTAGACTAAGGTGGTATGGTGGGCGGTATTTTGATAAGGTGCAGTTTAGTCATGATTTTCCAAAGACAGTTTCTGTTCACGGAATCATAGACTGCTTTAAATTCAACATAAAGGGTTGCACATTCTAAGTCATTTTCCATTATTATTCGAGTTTAGTCTGCTCCTTCCTCTTTTGAATCCAGCTTGATGGTCACTTCCTTTATATTATATTTTCTAAACGTAGATATATCCAGTTTAGTAAGATATTGGTCATTATCTTGTAGACAACAAAAAGGTCCAGTCTTTAAAATTACTACACTTATACATGAAGCCTTTCTTTTATGCTTTATAATATTTGATTATAGTATACAAGCCTTTATATCAAAATAATTATTATAAATAACATATTTACTTCATATGCTATTTAAAACTATGAAGTAAGGAAGAGTTTTATTTGGTTTTAGGTATAAATGTAAAATGTTTTTTCTCTTTCGTATAATTGTAATTGTTTCATTTGTCTAACATTTCGGGCTTTTTACTCATCCTCAGAGACAATTTTAAAACTGCTAATTGTCTTCTATCCATCTTACATTATTTACAGTATGTCAGAAAAACATTTGTCATTACATTCCAAATTACATTTAAAGAAATATATGTTTAGTTGGATAGTTTTCATTGTCCCATGGCTGCTTTATTTAAAATGGACTTTGTACTAATTCATTCAAAGTCCATTTTAAATAAACCAGTCATGTGACAATGAAAACTAGTCAACTACACATATATGTCTTTAAACGTGATTTCTAATGTAAAGACAAATGTTTTTCTGACATGCTGTAAATAATATAAGATGGATAGAAGACCATTAACAGTTTTAAAATGTCTCTGAGGTTAGGTAAAGAAAAAGCCCAAAACGAGAGAGAAGAGAGAAGACATTTTATATTTATACCTAATCCCTACAATCCAAAATCCTTCATAAAATCCTCAATGCTCCCTACTTTGTCATAAATAAAATCATCCATAACGACTTTAACGTACCATATGTTTCCGATTTAGCTCAATCCTATACCTATCCTTCCATGATAAACTTCTGAACAATCCGAACCTTCTTATTTCCAACCTTGCTTCCTCTTCTATTCCTGACAACACTCCAAGGCGTCAGAAAAGATGATGGCCTCGGAACCTTCTAATATAGAAATATAATTGGAGTGTTATCAATGGATAGTTTCTCTTCATGTTGTACATGCCATGTTACTTGTTTCATATTTACTTGTTGTATTTATCATTTAATACAGTTGTAAATTTCAATAATAAAAACTAAAAAAAAAATAAAGTATATTTATACCTAATTAACATATTTAGTTTTAAAATTATTTGTAAAACATCAAAATAAATTGAATTTATTTTTCAGGTTGATATAGCTAAACTGAATAGACTGTATGATTGCCCTGCTACATTTTACAGAGGCAATGATTTAAATGGTGTTTCATATATTAGCAAAATCACAAGCAGGCATCAGCTACCAGCTCGCTTTTACAAACTACGAGATATAAATGCAATAAATGACGGAAGTAAGTCAGATGAAGAAAGTAAACTTATAGAGAGCACCACTGGACCTCAGAATGATTTGACAAAGGAAAACTTATGAATCCCAAACATGAATAGAAGTTACAACTGATTACAAACAACTGTAAAAAACATATTAACAATGAATTATTTAAAATTCAATTGCATACTAGATGTGAAAAATGTCCCCTTGTATATAATCCCTTATTTATTTGAGTTTATGTATTATTTATTCAGGAAATAAACATTTTACAAAAAATTAGAAATGATTAAAAGAAATTATCAAATCTGTTTTTTTTTTGTCTTTCATTAATTTAAGTTTTTTTTTTTTTCTATCTCCATTTAATAAGATAATAATCAAATGATATTGAGTCTATCTATTTATTTTGATTTGACACATTTGTTATACAAACTTGTCAATAACCAATAAAGAATTTTAAAAATGTACTCCAAACCATTTTCATCAAAACTCACATCTAAAGATCTACAATTTATATTTTAACGAGGATGAATTTATGATAAAAAATTTTAATCAAGTATACATAAAAAATTCCATACATGGCAGAAGATTGTGTAGAAATTTGTTGAGCGAATAGCAAAAAAAAAAAACAATATTTTTTTTTTAATAATTGACTATTGATTTTATTTACAAATAATGTAGAGTTTAGATACTTGTTGAATTACAAGATGTTTAGAAAATGGAGATACAACCCCGTATAGTCAACAAATGAAAAAATTAAATATTATCTTCATAATATTGGCAGATCTTGTTCGCTGATTCTTAACATTTATTCTATTTTCTAGAAAATTAAGAAAGTAAATGCATTATGAGATGCATGACCATATTTTCAGAAATATTTGAGGTTACTTAACTCCCTGAATATCAAAGAAATAGGTATTTAAATTTCTTATTAATATCCTCTTTCCAAAAGAACAGTATAATCCAATCAAACACAATTTCAAATAACTTATTTTAAAAAAATTATAACTTGTTCTTTTTAAAAACTCCATGAAAGATTTCAAAAGGATATTTTAACACTATTCTCTATGGAGTACTTTATATAACTTTTAAAAAAATTGGCCTAACTGGTTTAAGTTCCAATATATCAATAAAAACATGTTTAATATTTAAAAATATATTCTTTAAATTCTATTTTGTGGATGGTTATAAAATAGTTAATATATATATATAAGTGTATGAACTTACCACTTCATTTTGAATACTTGAAGTTCATTACAACTGAATCATGATGAGAACTTAAGTTTACAACAAAAAAAAAATTAAATTTGAACACATAATAGATATTCGGTGGCAAATGTCAATAAAAATAACTGAAAGTTTAAAAAGTTAATTTTAAATTAACACTAACAAATAGAAACATGTTTTGGATTAACCGTTGAGCAGTGTTGCCACTTGTCGATAGTTAGTCCTTGTACTCTGGCTCCGATTTCCGATATTGTGTCATTAGCAGTCTTCCTCCCCCCCCCCACGCGTTTGGCAGTTCCATTTCAAAATTATAATACTTTACCAATTAAAGCTTATTTATAGTCATTTTTAACCCTACACCTGCAACTAAATACTATATTTTTTAATAGAAACGGGTTGTTGTTAACTTTTTACCAGATAACAGCGAAGCCAGGAGAAGTGGTCAGTTGTATGAAATGATTTTTTGTGTGAACAGCTCGCCAGATTTTTAAGTTCGAAGGCTCAATTTATTCAGTGTAATCTCGTGTATTTTGAAACATTTTGGGGCCAAAACGCTTGCAAATGATTGTATCAAATGTGTTTAATTTGACCGTCACTTTTTTTTTTTTTTTTTTGAGCGAACGATTGTACCGACTTTTTTGTAATTCGATAGCTTAAAATTTTCAGTGAGATTCCGTATATGTGTTTTGAAACAATTTGTGCTCAAAACACTAATAAAGTATCATATAAAATGTGTTTAATCAATTGAACATTTAGTATTGAGGAATTTATTTTTCTACATAAGAAAAGAGGGTAATAATTTCGATGATGCCCGCAGCCTTTTGGGGAGGAGTGGGGACGCTTATTCTAGAGGATTGTTTACATTTAGGTTACAGTTATGTTAGGCTATCTCAATCCCCCACCACTTTTTGCTCCATAGGCACCTCAAAACCGTTAATTTTTCATATTTTATTGGCAGTATTTTAGTTTAGAAGCTTAATTTTGTTGTTTAAGTGGTATGTTTAGTTTATTAATAGGTAGTTTTTTATTGGATAGTTATACGTTTTAGTGTTTAAAGTGGTAGTTTTGGTTTAATGTTCAGTGATAGGTTTCATCTTCACAGACTCTTATTTTATTAGTGATATTTTGTTTAAAAGTTTAATTATGTTGTTTTAGTAATATATTTAGTTTACTAATAGGTACTTTTTATTTAATAGTTATACATATTAGTGTTTAAAGTGATAATTTTGGTTTCTTCTTCATAGACAAAATCGTGAGTATACTTTAATTCTTTACTTTATTTTATTAATTTTCCTTTTTAATTCAGTGGTAATGAAAGAAAAAGATGGAAATCAAGTTTGTAACTTGGTTATAAGAAGCTAGTGTCTATAGTTCGAGGCTACTAGCTAACACAATTTTTATCTTGAAGTCAGTAGTTTCTAGTATAAAATTGAAATTTGGTTTTCCTTTATAGTTATGATTACTTTCATCATTAAAATATGAGTATAGTTGATGATCCTTAGCTTTATTGAGATCTCTAGTAACTAAAAGTAGTTTTCTTTTATGCCAGAATAAATGATATGATACTCATCATGACTGATTTTTAGAAATAGATTGTTGTACTGCAAAAGTTCTGAAATGAAATTATTATTTTTCTTGTTGAAATCCTAAAACTATTAATGTTTATTCAAGATGTTTTTTTATCATTTAAGGTCAAGATTATCATTTAAGGATCATCAACTACACTCATTTTTTTAATATTGAAAGTAACAATAACCAATAAGGAAAACCAAATTTCAATATTATACCTGAAATCACTGACTTCAAAATAAAAATTGTATTAGCTAATAGTCTCAACCTATAGAAATATCTTCTATAACCAAGTTTCAAACTTCATTTTAATCTTTTTCCTTCATAACTATTGAATTACAAAGGAAAATCAATAAAAGAAAGTAACAAATTAAAGGATTAAGTCATTTTGGAAACCTATATGAGCCCAAATCAACTCAGCAAGAGGTGATTTAAGAGGATTTTACATAGAGAAAAATGAGGGTAATTATTTACAAGTGGTACTCCTCCGGCCATCTTGTAAATAAATAATTACCAAAATGAATATTTAATAGTTGACCGTTGCATTATAAAGGAAGAAGATGGTCCGGGGTTGCGGTCATAAATAGGCTAAATAGTGGTAAAACTATTTTATTGAAAGCCGACGTTTCGACCCGACTTTGCAGGTCTTCTTCAGGGCTACGGTTACTGACTAGTCCAACTACAGCAACTGAGTACTATAGAACTTTAGTTGGACTAGTCAGTAACCGTAGCCCTGAAGAAGACCTGCAAAGTCGGGTCGAAACGTCGGCTTTCAATAAAATAGTTTTACCACTATTTAGCCTATTTATGAGCGCAACCCCGGACCATCTTCTTCCTTTATTACCAAAATGAGTTCTGTTGATGAAGAACACATAATTAATTGTCACATTATTAAAGATAATGACAAGGATTCTTAAGGGGTTTATTGTATTTAGACTTAGGATAAATTCAATTGGTAAAAAGAATTTCCCTCATATGTCTATTAAGGGGTTTATTGTATTTAGACTTAGGATAAATTCAATTGGTAAAAAGAATTTCTCTCATATGTCTATTTTTAGCAGTAAATCTGTAAATGTATATGTGCAGCATTTATAAATTGAAATTCCTTTGTAAATAAATAAATATTCTCTGTTTTATCTAATGTTTTTTATATTCCTTTGTTGATTAAAAATGTTTTCTATTTCAAGTTAATTTGGATATTTTTTCAATCAATTGATAGTTGATTGTATTTTATCCTTACAGTTTTATGTTTCACTACTAGTTATTTTTACTTGGTATATCTAGTGTGATAAAATTGAAAATATATTATAGCCAACAACCTCTAATTTCCCAAAAAAGTATTGAAAAATAAATAAAACTAGGGAAAGCTTATATTCTGGACTAATGGAAAATTCAGGTGTGACAAACATTATTACAATTTATCATATTATGATTATTATTCCATTTCAATGATAACAGGTGTATTGATATTGGTAAATAGAAATTTTCAAATTATACAAAAACTAAGTTATACCACTCTGAAACAAATACTCTCCTACCACCAGGCTTAAAAGTAAAATGAACAACTTTTTCTATTTTAGATGCAATATGCAATATCTACATTATGGTAAGAGGTAAACCATTTCATAAAAAATATTTTATATCAATGATCAGAAATGAATCTGTTGATCGAGGATCAAATTTTGAACTATTTAAATTTGTAATAATAGTGGATTTATAATAGTTGGTGTTGTCCAAAATCAGTCTTGGTCATGCACTTTGCAAGATCAAGACCGGAAAAAAAAATCCCTTTTATGTAGAAAAATTAAGGTAAAATAGTCACTAAAACTTGAAAAATTGAGTTGCCATATGTAAAGAAGTGGTATAACCAATATCATTTGGAATTTAACTCTCAATTTTTCATTTGGGCTTAGTTAGGTTTTCCGTATCTGAAAAATTACAGTAATTTCAGACGTCTCATTTCTCTATTCACTAGTTTCATTTTGCTGTGGAGCACAAAATATACTTCAGAGAATTCGTTGTTTACATTGAACAAACTTTGGATCATTATTCTTTCTATAATCTATTCTTACACCACAGAAAGAACCTTAAAAGTAAATAATGATGTTGCTTTTACAACCCTCATTTCTTAGTCTGCCTGTGTCCCTTAACAGGGGTGCCCAGAAGGGAGTTTCATGCCACAAGTTGCGCCATCAAAATTTTTAAGGAGGCACATGTTGACTGGATTTTGAATTTTTGAGTGAAAAGTTTCAAAACAGAGAATTGGGAAGAAACATGGGACATACCACTCCAGGTATAATTGTATATGATCTTGGAATTGTCTAATCTTACTTTCGCTTGCATTGCTTTTAAGAAGGGGAGTGAAATACAATTTTTGGAGAGAGGGGGATGGTTCATGCGCCATCGACCTTGGAGGGGATGG